GTAACGAGAGCTTCTCTCTATTTCTTACAGATGCACTCGTGTCTGCTCGTGCAACCTTGACCAGATGCTGACCGACGCTTGAGGGGTTTGTGAGGGAAATAGTTCCAGTTGTCGATAGTACATCTTGTTTCAAGCTGGTCGAAATGTTAACCCTATTTTGAACAGTGGTTTCTGCTCCACTGCGCTTCGCATCTGCGCCGAGTGTATGCCTGTTCTTGGGGTCGCTGATTTCCGCCGCACGATTATTCTTGTTTGAATAGCAAGAAGCAAAACTACTAGCAACAGTGAGTGGCAACAATAGTTTTTGCGTAGGCAAGTTAGGGTGAACAGGTTTTACCAGACCTTTTTTCAAGGAGAAAACAGCTGCCGGCAGCGCTGTCGCCATTCTTGGTGTACATTTTGCAACGATATGACCACTATTCCTGTGTCCACATATCTCCTTCACTGTACATTGACGGACACTGACGTCGTTTCTGGGGATTCGATTTGATGACGTTGCGTTTTCAGATATAATTTTTACGTTTGCAGTCGTGCTAGGCGACAAGGCGTTTATCGGCTGATCGTTTCGACGTGAGGCAAGTTGTGCAGAGTCGCGTGCATGCAATTGCTGCAGCAGTCTCGGGGTCTCTGTATCTGTACTGGGAAGACTTTGCGCAGCTGTAACTGGATCCACCCCCACCGTCTGTTTAATAGGGTGGGGCGTCACGGATGACGGCAGCGATGAACATGTAACATCGACCGCTCTGCCTGCGGAGAATGCATCCCTGCCCCATGCGGTATGCATGTGTCGCGAAGTATGTTGCGGTTCATGATATCTAATCGGCGGTAGAGTTGTTGTCAAGAACGCGATCTCTGTGCGAGAGGGTGGAAGCTCCTGACCGGAGTGTAGCTCATGACCATGGAGCGCTGACTCTGCATCAGGTGATAATGCATTCTTCGTTGTAAGCGAGTCGTCGACAGCGCGACTGTTTGGCGCGCTTTTCAAATCACGATCCCGTGAGTCATGCGCAATGTTGCGAATGAAAACATTATGATTGGTAGTTTTGCACTGACTCGCACAGGAGCACTCTTCCGCAACGCTCTCAGGTGGAACGGTAGTAGCATCGCTTTCACTCATGTGTTGTTGCAGGACGGAGTGCTGTATAGGCGTGTGTATGTCTTAAAAGGGTGAAGAGCAGGGTGTTGAGGAGGGAGAGGAAAGGCTTTTTGGGGATGTGCTCTCGAGACGTCTCGAGAGCTAAGAAGTGCTGATGTGTCCCACTCCGGACATCTCACGAGTTATATGTCATCTCCGACAGAAACGGGGGACCGTGCCCACACATCTACAGTATGAAGCGAAAACCACAATTCACATTGGATCGCAACATACGATGTGAAACGAAAGCTGCAAAATGTCACCGTGTGCCGCAACCCCTGAAGCGTACTTCCCTCACAGTTGTACGTGCATAAGTGCCGAGTCACTGAAACGCTACAAACGATAAAAGCCATCTGTAAATCACGAATCGCGACAGCGATCGAAAGTGGATGTGTATGCTACGACAAAGAAAGGCGTCTATCGGCGCGACGATCCGCAAGGCATACAGCTCCAAAAATATAACTTTTACGCTTCACGGAGTAGGTGATCAAAAGTATGTACACACTAGTGGGGAAGGAGAGAGAAGCGTATGGAGAGAAATGAGCGTATAATCTAGGATTAGCAACTACAAAAGGCGGAAGGAGTACACCGAGGGTTGGAGGAGGTGGCGGATGGAAAGGGAAAACGTGACACAGGTAAAAAAAAAGCAGGGGGAACAAAGACGGCTCAGGTGGAGCAAACGCTAAACAACGGCCGCACAAGTAGCCATTGCTGATACCGGTGACAGTGGGGCATGGCCATCGGCAGAAGTGGCGGAAGACTGCTGCGGAAGCATAGGCTTTGTGCCATGAGAAGGAGCAGGCGGAGCGTGTGTAGATTGGTGTTGGTGGTGATGTTGTTGTTGCGCGGCGGTGTGGTTGGGTGCAAGTGGTTGTTGAGTTTGGTTAGAGTTATTGCGGTGAGCAGGGACAGCAGGGGAAGTCTCTTTGTACATGCTGACGTCAAAAGCGCCAAGATGAGCAGCCATAGCGGAGATGTGATCCAACAAGACAGACAATTCCCTGCAAAGCTGATCAAGGCTTGGCCTCTCCAAAAACTTGACAACCTTGAGAACAATCGATGCTCCATGCGAAGTGAGATGATTAGTAGCTGCATGGGCAGCGTACTGATCGCCCACCGAGTCACCGAGCACAACAACATGCAGCGGTTCTGAAGGGCGGGGTAGTGACACACAGAGAGACCGTAGTTCATCAAAAAATGTGAGCGCCTTCCATTGCAACGGATGATCGCGGTATAGGTCAACGTATCGAGCGCGCGCCGAGATGATCTTAACGAGCTTGTAATTGCGCTCCAAAAAAGCGCGCACAGCGGGCAAGAAGCGACTGGAACTAAGCTCAACCCAGCCGTCACCTGCATTGGTGACAATGAGCACGGTTCCGAGATTGATAGCGGTTTTGAGTAGCGAGAGAACGCGACTCTCAAGAATGCGGAGCTGCGAGGAGAGTTCGGGTGTGCAGTGATCGATGCGATAGTCCAGGTCGGCCATGAAACCACAGCGTTCGAGAAACGAGGTTGCACAGCAGGTGTCATCCCAGTCGAGAATGAAGACGGAACGGGGGAGTGGATTGCGGCTCGCGCGGGCGCGGCGCATTGCTTCGACAGCGGCTGGAATTTGGTTGAGGACGGCGGCGAAGGCGGTGCGGTGATGCGGGTGGACGTGGTGCGCAGGATGGGACCGCTTCGCAGCTAATGGAAGGGCCATGGATGATTTCTAGTGGGGGGGGGGGGGGGGGGGATGACAACGACGAGGACAAGCGCTGTAGGGTTTGACGGGAGTATGTGTCGCACAAGGACAAGGAAGGAAGGAGGAAGGTTTTGAAGTGGGGAAGACTCGGGAGCGAAGAGAAGTAGGGTAGAGGGTGAGGGGCAGGTATGTGTGTGTGGGGGCGGCGGTTTAGAAGGTGAGAACGGGAGGGATGGCAGAAAGATGGTGAGGAGGTATGTAAGACTGGGCGGTGAGGGCGGTGCTGTTGTTGGTGCTGTTGTTGGTGCTGTTGTTGATATGGGGCGGTGGAAGAGGGAAGTAAGGCGTCAACAGCGGTGGCAGGATGAATTGAAAGGCGGAGTGGGACAGGCGGATGGTGGGGGGTGCGGGGTGGGCAAACGGCGCACACGGCGATATAACGACGCGGCGGCTCGGGTAGTGCGCGCGGGCGCAGAGCGACTCGCTGCGCTCGCTGTGCGGCGACAGCGTGACAACAGCAAGCGCATTACGTGCAATGCTCGCGCGCCCATTGCGCGCGCGCCAGCGGCGCGCTGCAACTTGGTTCATGGTTCCCGCGTGACACACGTTGGTCACCCGCAGCGCCGTAGTGTAAATGTGGCGGGGGGGGGGGGGGCGCAGGGCGGCGTCAGCAGCAAGCGCTTCTGAGGCGGGTCTGTAAGCGGTGCACATGGCCGTGTGCTGGGCGCGGAGGTGACTGCACAAAGGTAAAACAAGTCGGCTGTAAACGCAGCCGGATGCTCCGCGGGGAACGGCGCTTGTGAGACAAATCTGCGCGATCTGGACTGGCTGCGCAGAGACGGGCAGCGGCGCGATCTTGCCACGTACTGTACCCTCATACAAGCGCGCACGCGCGTCGGAGTTGCTCTGCTGATTCAAATGGGCGCGCCGCCAACGAGAGGCGCGCTCAAACGGGCCAGCCCCCCCCCCCCACCCCCAACAAACAACTCACAGGGCGCTCGCGACACAGCACGGGTGTCAGCCGCAAAATCGATTTGCACGCGCGCCCATCGCACATGCGCATACCGCCCATCCAGCCACACCTTCTGTAAGCGACACGAGAGCGCTCTAATTTCTTGCGCATAATACAAAAACTTGCCGCAACACGTGTCCGGCCATATCAGCGCTTGACGTCACGCGTGACGTGGGAGCCCTAAATGACTGAATGTTTTTCACTTATTTGTTGAGGGAGCGTACATTGCTGGCGCGCCGCGTGTGTGTGGATCGTTTGCGGCTGCCAGCGCGGCGTGCGGCAGATAACAGTGCGCAAAGAAAGAAAGGAAAAACAAAAATGAAGAAAAAGGCAAAACTGATGTGCGGCGGGTGGCACCAGCAGCGTGCGACGTCATGGCGCGCACGTCGGCGCGCTTTCCCCACACCCCCCCGAGGGCCACCACTGCACGGGCTCCTCCCACCTCCCTCCCCCACCCCCCCCCCCCCCCCCGCTCGACGGCTCCCTTGCTTATCGATGCCGTCATCCAAAACGCAAGCTGCGAACCCCCCGTTACGCGTTTCTTCTCCAACACGTCACCGCCAATTCTCGTTTTCCCCGTTCTCGTCTTCTTCTGCCCCACGCCGCGCCCCTATAATGGTGCTTGCGCTGCGCAATGCTTAACAAACCCGAACCAGCCCAGGAATACACTTCGTTTCGTGTATCTGTACCGCGTAAAGTTACAGCGGTGCAACGGCACCCTTGCTACTGTATAAGGAGAACCAACGGCCACAGAAAAGTTCACACACAAGTTAAGTTAAGAAGCTCATTACGTCACCTCTCCTGTATCCTTGTAGTAAAACGTTGCCTCGCCCTCTTTTCTGCTCGCGTCCAAAAGGAGAGCTCCCACATCTTCTCAACGGTATACTTACTGCTCTGTGGTTCACTAAAAATTCACGTCGCTTACCGCTGTTTCAGTCGTCGTCACGCCCGAGCAGTCGCACCGAGAAACGGGACGGCTCGCAAAATCGCGCACACGTCACAACATACAACTTTTTCATAGCCATAGCCCTACCCTGTTGTAGCTGTATCCTCAACGTCCAAAGTCCAGCCCCTGTGAGTCAAAAGTTCTTGACAGCAGGGAATCGCACTAAAAAAAGAACAAAGCAACGAAGCGAAAGAAAGGGGAAAGAAAACAAAACAACATGCACCGTCAACGGCAGGATTCGAACCTGCGCCTCCGAAGAGACGACATAGCATCGTCGAGTACGTGATTCGAGTGTCGCGCCTTAACCACTCGGCCACGTTGACAAGCGTCACATCTTGCCGCCGAGATCTGGGAACGTCCTTATTTAAAGCCACCAGTCTATTGCAACAAGAGCACAATTCTAACGCGCGGTGTCAGCATCCCTGATGCCATGCCGGACGCCCCGTTTTGGCCACTTTTGACCACTGCCAATCTACTCACAGCCAATAACATCAACGCATCGTTTTTGCCACGACTCCACGCCAAAAACTTTCCAGTTTTTTTTGGTTTTTGGAGCAGCCATGGTAGAACGCAGCTCTCGCTTGGCTTTCGCTGTAGCCGGTGTCCCTGCTCATTCTGCCTTTTCTGCAGGCAGTGTTTTTCGTACACTCTCTTCTGCCGTCTGTGCGCGCACGTCTTTCACCTTACACAACTTCGCTCTCCCTCGATTTCCGACCTTCATCCTCGAGCAATCGTCAATCTTTTCCGCGCTTTTCCCACCTCCTTGTATATGTACATATATTCTTTCGTCCTGCCTTGATCCTAACAATTGCCCGTCATGGTACGTTTGCGTGCGCGCTCTTCCCACTCACCGGCGGCCCTCAGTCGCGCTGTAGCTGCTTGAAAGACGTATGTGTCTTGTCTGACACTCTTCTTTTCATGCCTTTCTGATTGTCAAGCCTCTCCGTCTGGAGATTGACAGAAAGTTCACTCAGTCCTCAGAGCGTGTAAAATGCGTCGACATTCATCCCACAGAGCCATGGGTGCTGGCTACCATGTACGACGGTCACGTCATTATTTACAACTACGAGACTTCAGCCGTCGTGAAGAGCTGGGAAGTCACAGATCAACCCGTGCGCTGCGGAGCGTTTGTGGCTAGAAAGCAATGGATCATTGTCGGCGCCGACGATATGTTCATTCGTTGTTATAATTATAACACTATGGAGAAGATCAAAGTGTTTGAAGCTCATATCGATTACATCCGAAGTATTACCGTTCATCCTACCCTACCTATCTTTGTCACCTGCTCGGATGACATGCACGTTAAGGCCTGGGATTGGGAGAAAGGATGGGACTGTGTTATGTTGTTTGAAGGCCACGCACACTATGTCATGCAAGTCAAGTTTAACCCGAAAGATCCGAATACCTTTGCGTCCGCTTCTCTCGATCATACCATCAAGGTCTGGAATCTTAGCTCGCCAGTGCCCAATTTCACACTCGAAGGTCATGAGAAGGGTGTTAACTGTGTCGATTATTACAACGGTGGCGACAAGCCATACCTGGTCTCAGGTGGCGATGACAAATGCGTTCGCATATGGGACTACCAGACAAAGTCATGTGTGCAGACACTCGAGGGACACTCTCACAACGTCTCCTGCGTTGCGTTCTTGCCGGATCGTCCCTTGATTGTGTCGGGGTCAGAGGATGGTTCTGTCATTCTCTGGCATTCCAACACATACCGTCTGGAGCAGAAACTCAGTTATGGCTTGGATCGATGCTGGTCGGTTGCCTACCTGAAGGGCTCCAACAAAGTTGCGCTTGGTTTTGATGAGGGTACCGTTCTGTTACAGATGGGCAAGGACACCCCAGTCGCCTCAATGGATTCCTCAGGAAAAGTCATACTGGCAAAGCATAATGAAGTTTCTACCGTAAACGTCAGGACTGTTCAAGGCACCCCTACGGATGGAGAAAGGCTTTCTGTTGCTACTAAGGAGCTGGGATCCTGCGAGATCTATCCCCAAACTCTTGCTCACAGCCCGAACGGTCGTTTTGTTGCCGTATGCGGCGATGGAGAGTACATTATCTACACCGCGCTCAATCTGCGTAACAAGTCCTTCGGTTCTGCAGATCAGGTTGTTTGGGACAACAGCGTCGGAGAGTATGCCACTCGCCTCGGTACAAGTGATATTCGAGTGTTCAACAAGTTGTTTAAAGAGCGCAAGTCTATGCGACCGACGTACGCTGCGGAGTCCATCTTCGGCGGTGCATTGCTAGCGGTGAGCGGAAAGGACTTCATCTGCTTCTATGACTGGGAAGACTTGCAGCTCGTGCGCCGCATTGACGTCGAAGCTAATGGTGTTTACTGGTCAGACCAAGCTCATCTGCTTGCAATCGTCAGCGAATCATCTTTCTACGTCCTCCAGTATTCTGCTGACGCTGTTCACAAGGCGCTCGAGGAAGGAGGCGGAAGATTTCCGGAAGACGGTGTAGAGGATGCGTTTGAGTTAATCCATGAAGTCTCGGAAACTGTCCAAACTGCAAGGTGGGTCGGAGACTGCTTTGTTTACACGAACACCAGTTCTAGATTGAACTACGCTGTTGGTGCGGAAGTGACCACTTTGGTACACATGGATCGGCCAATGTTTCTTCTGGGATACTTGCCAAAGGAAAATCGTCTATACTGCATCGACAAAGAACAGAATGTTGTCAGCTACACTCTCCTCTTGGCGGTACTAGAGTTCAAGACAGCGGTTGTGCGCGGAGGAATTCACATTGCGAAGGAGAAGGTACTACCTCGGATTCCTACATCTGAACATAGCAAGCTGGCCCGATTCCTTGAATCCCAAGGTCTGAAGGAAGATGCCTTGGATTTAGCCACTGATCCCGATTATCGCTGCGATCTTGCGATAGGCCTAGGCCGCTTGGATCTGGCAACGGAAATCGCACGTGAGTTCCCCAGTGAGCTTAAGTGGAGTCAGCTGGCCGATCTCGCTACTGTCAAGGGTGACTTCGTTCTAGCGGAAGAAGCTCTTAGAGAGTCTGATGACTATAGTGGACTTTTGACTCTATACTCTGCACGATCAGACAAGAAGTCAATGGTTCAACTGGCAGACAAGGCAAGTGCGGCCCATAAGATGAATGTAGCGTTTCTCGCGGCATTCATGTCTGGAGAACTCGAAAAATGCCTGGACGTCCTACTTCAAAGTGGACGTATTCCAGAAGCTGCGATATTTGCCAGAACATACCTCCCAAGCCGGATGACGCCTATTGTTGATATGTGGCGAACTGAATTGCGAAAGTCTGGTAGTGTCAGAATAGCAGATGCTATAGCGGATCCGACTGCACATCCTCACTTGTTTCCGGGCATTGAGGATAGTATTGCAGGTGAACAGGCAGCCAAGACGATGGCTGCACGACGCGTCGGGAAACCGGGAACAGCATTTGCGGATCATCGCCATGAAGCTGGCATGGAGCTAGCAGAACTTTTGCAAGCAATGAACATCAACGGAAACGGAACGGCGCCGGCTGGTATAGAGGACAATAAGATAGATGGGATGGTCGATGATATGGACAAAGACGAATTTGGCGATCCGCCTGCGGAAGGAGATCCGGTTGGCGTTGACGGTTCCATGCCAGTGGGAAATGCAACACCTATAGAAACATAATCTAGTTGTACACCACAACGCCGACAGGGGGTGGGGTGGATCAAACCGGGTTCTATTATAAAGAATTGGTCCAGATACTTCCACCATAGTTATCCGCACTGACCAGTAACACTTTTTGGCCCTAGGACATGGAAAACGGACCGTGAAGTGAAGTTGGGTTCGAACTTTGATCGCACTGCAGATGAAGTCTTAAAGAGAACATTCGTCGTTTTCTTCTTTATTCTTTAAACTGAACAGCTTCTTGCATACAAATTCGAGTTCAACAGTTGTGTTTATCATTAAAGATACTAAGTCATCGAAGAACTGCTCCTTCTCTCGGTACCTGTTAAGAGCTTCTTGAGCTTTCCAGGAATGTCCATGAAACTCGTTTTCTGACCCGGCACCGTCGTAGATTGTTGATGACAGAAAAATATTACTGCCCTGCTTGGAGTCCCGTTTGTAGCTACACTCCTCGACTTCTGGATTCCGTTCGACAATAGTCGTAAAATCGTTGTGCTCAACGGCACTTGGCCCAGTGTTGGGTTCGTGGTCCATATCGACGTTCACCGCACAATCAGCTTCATCTGCTAACTGCTTGGATGCTGCTAACATCCGCTTCTCTTTCTCCCCGTCTGTTTCCATTGTGAGGTCATCCTCAGGATTTCGTTGACGATGTTGTGAAGAGGCGAGCTCTTTCCTGCGTTGGACTTGTTTGCTGTTGGCCTCAGAACGATCGCTTTGGTCAACCTTGCTGCCAACACGACGAGGTTGTTTTGAGCTTTCGTACTTACCTGAGTCCGTTTGTACAGGTTTCTCTGCGTAAGGACGGCCATGACCATCGGTCCTTTCCTCAAAATCTCTATCTCCTTTGCCAGTATTGTCTTTATGACCTTGGGCCAAGTCTATCTCATCACAAACAGCCACGGTAGCTAGTGATTTTCCCGTACCAGAAATGCTACGGGAAATGCCAGAAACCTCAACTGCGTTTTCCGTCCCATGTGGGGAGCGATGGTCTGTTGCATCGGGACACGTACGGGGAGTGCCTGCGCTCTTTTCCACTGCGCAATGCAGTGCTTTTTGTTCTGGTGAATGCCTTGTCTTAACACGATTCAGAACCTCATTCTTTGGTGTCTTTGGTGACTCAGCCACATCGTTACTAATGAACAAAGCAGGGTCTCTCATATCAACTGTGCTTTCAAGCAATGACAGGGGGGGTAAAAGACAGTCGTCAGTTCCATGTGCATTGTTCAGTGACTCGTCGTCGATACAGGCATCGAATCCTAAGAGGACACTTTCATTATATTGCTCCTCATACAGCATGTCTTCAGGTCTGGGCTTCCCTTTGGACTTTCTTCGTTTCTTTCGCTTCGCAGGTTTTCCTTCAGAATCATTTGTGAGCCAAGACTTCTTGAGATCAATTGCGCCCTTGGATTTGATTGCATTGGCCCCTTGCAACATGTCATGTTCTCGAGCATAGCGGAGGGCGGATGATACAGATGAGAATTTACGCCTCCGCTTCCGACTAGGACTGTTGCTGGCTTTCAGTTCATTCTCCGCGTTTGGGGTGCAGTTACTTCTATCTCCAACAAGAATCGGAGTTTCGTTTTGTGATAAATTATGCTCGCTTTGGACGCATGTCAGTTCTTTGTCCCCTGCGACCTCACGCAAGTTAACCAACGCGGCTTTCTTAATTGCACATA